TTTTGCTAGTTATGCTCCAAGTTTCACTCAAAAATATTTTGTTAAAAAAAATTGATATTATGATATAATGACATGAACAATTTTTTAAAAAATTTCATAACTTTTGCTCACCCAAAAAAAATCCTAACCATGTATTCATATCATTTCAGAAGTGGGGTCACATGTGACTTACATTCCCAAATACATTAGGAAAGAATGCAAGGAGGGGAGCTTTTCGACCCACGCCCAAGAAGAGGGGAACAAAATAGTTAAAGAGGACTTCTCTTGTTAGATTTGTGTTGTGATGGTGGCATTCAACTTTGACTCCCCAATGTACCCTTGCTCCTAAACACCCACCCATCTCGCAAAACGCCCCTTTCTTCCTTTTCCTGCTAAAAAACCCGACTTCTCAATTCTCCCTCTCGTCTCTCAACCCCCATTTCTGGACTCTCTCTCTCTCTCTCTAAAATCCGAACGCGTACCAGAGGGCCAAAATCATTGAGTTGGGAAGAGAGATAAGAAAGAGAAAGAGCACAGTAATGGCGGCCTTCGAGGGTTGATCCCCAAGACCAAAAGGGAAACAGGTGGGCCTCCTCCAACCATCGAAATTCTTTTTTTTCTTTTTCTTTTTCTTTCGCTCTCATCTGATCCTCTGTTGTTTGCTTCGAAAACAAGTTCGAATGGCTTTTGGGACAGTTTGACTTCATGGTGGATTGGGTGTTTTCCATTGTTTATCGGTTTCTGATTAATGGGTTTCTTCTTGCTTAGGTCCACAATAATGTATGCTACCTGAGAAAAAGATGAAGAAAGAGATATTTAAGTTGGTTTTTTTTTTTTTCAGAAATGAAGTGACTAGGTTTTGATGTTGGTTTTCTCTGGTTTGATTAAACAAAATTCTCTCTCAACATTGCAATGGCTCTTTATTGGGTTTCACTCAACTGCATCCATACCTGCTGAATAAACCCACAATGGAATTACACTCCCTTTTTCAATGATTTGAAGCAGTTGATTTCTCCATTAATAGTCGCGACATATGGGAGTCAAAATGCCTCCCTATTGTGATCCCTCTAGGATAAACTTAATGGAGCTCAAAGACCAGATTGGTAAGAAACTTGGGCCCAAGAAATCTGCTCGTTATTTTCGATACCTTAGTGAACTTCTCAGCTCAAAGCTCAGCAAGAGAGAGTTTGATAAGCTTTGTGTCTTCACAATTGGGAGAGAGAATATAGCAATGCATAATCGATTCGTACTTTCGATTTTTAAGAATGCTTGTTGTGGAGAAATGCCCCCAGATTCATCGAATTCTCACGTTTTCTCGAGAGAGAACGGTGCAATTTCTTGGAGCGGAGCTTCTTTTCCCCGTTCTCCTCGAAGGGGCAGGTCAAGAAAGATGAACACTCACAGGTCAAGGGATCAGCCGAGCTTCTTTAAACCCTTGGATAATAAGACTGAACTTTTCCCTCAAACGCATCAAGAAGCCGTGAACTCTGGATCAAATTTAAGTACAAAGGATCCTCTCAATGGTTACGCAACTGCAAATTCCTTTCCAGCCTCAGCAGGTAGTGGATCTCTGGCTAAAATCGCCTCAGTTGAGGATGGGGAAGAGGTTGAGCAAGAAAAGTGTAGCATGAACCTTGTTAGAAGAAATCCAATTAGGGCTCCTCTTGGTATAACGTTTTGCCCCATTAGTCTTGGTAGTACCAGGAAAACTCCTGAAAGTGGGTTTCAATTTTCCACGTCCGATGTTTCCATGGTTTCTTGTTTGGAAAACTTAGAGCTGCCACATACTGAGGCTTTGAAGGCAAGAATGGAGCATCTCGCTAAATTAGAAGGCCTCCATGGCATGAGCACCGAGATTGCTAATCTGTTAAATAATGGTTTGGATGTATTCTTGAAGAGATTGATTGATCCCTGTTTGCAACTAGCTAGGAATCGGCGAGAAGCAAAGCAAGTAGCTAACACTCAAGTAATACCCAGCAGGCTTGTAAGTGGTTTTAGTGGTTCGTTGCCTCATCTTTATAGTTGGTTGGGCCTCAAAGAATGTTTGGTGAAGCAAAATGAATACTTTGTGGCATCGAAGCTTGATTTTCAGGTAGCCATGGAAATGAATCCTAAGCTCCTTGGAGAGGACTGGCGGTTACAGCTTGAGAAGATTTGGTTTCGTGCCATGGCTGAGGAGTAAAAGTTCTAGATGGAATTCATCAGTTACATTTGATTCTTTCATAAGATGGAATTGGAGAAAGCTTTGATCCAGTCTCTTATATCAGGTTGCTGTTTTATCTATTTAAAATTGTTACTTGAGGTTGAGGTTACATATCAGTGATTGACCAAAGTTGGGTTGTTAAATAAATGGAAAAAGAAAAGGAAAAAGGAGTAAGTTCGGTTGTTTCTGCTAATCCATGTTGCATTGTGATGAAGACTATATCAGCATAAAGGGGAAGAAGTCTTGAACTAATGACACTAGGAAGCGGCTTATGAACAAGAGTTGAAGTGTGTTTTTCCATGTAATTGAATTACAGTAAGTCAAGTGGCTATGTGATGAATATGAAAGCCAAGGATTCACCCAATCCAGATCCTGACAGTAAACAGTAGATCTCCCAGTTGCAATTTATACCACAGAAAATCTAGGCCCCTTAAGTTTGTCAGTATCCTTGTACAGTGCGATAATACCTCTGATTAACTTTGTGTTGGAGAATTTGGTGCGTATGCGCGTATTGATGTGTATTGCCGTTATGATTTTCTCCCATTAATGATAACTTATGTGGCGATTTGCACCGTCTTAGGTATGACTGATCTGTTAGCCATTTTGAATGTGTTATTGTTTTGCATAATTTCTGTGAAATACTGTTAAATAATGGGTGTGAGATCAGCACCCTTTTCGATGGATTAATATCTTCTTTTTTTTAACTTGCAAAGATCTGTAATTTATGCCGAACTTAGTGCTAGTAAATAATGCGTGTTACTCAGAAGGCCTTTATTATAATTTCTTGAACTCACATTCTAGGACAGTCCCAATGCGACTGTTATAAATTTCTGTAACTTCTTTAATGGCTATATATTATAAGTGGTACCAAAAACGAGATGAAAGGCACAAGAAATTAGAGTCCAGATAAAAAAGACATATATTATCCATTTCTCAATTCGTGTATTTTCACCCTTATGCAGGTGCCATGCTAAATCTTCTTTGTAGTGTCCCAATTTTGTTGGATGTCTCTGCTTAGGCGTTCTTTTCAACAAATTTAATAAGGTCATTGTGTACATAAGTGATATAGAGAAACTTCTAGTGAGACCCAATGTAAGTAATGTGGTCTAGATCTTCACCTCATATTTATTTTCATAAAAATCAGTACAACAGGCAGGGTTCGCGCTCAAACCCCTGCTGGTGTAGTGACTAAAAGGCCATGGCCATGTAAAATATCAGAACCTCATGTTTCATCCCCATTTCTGACTTCCTTCTGCAGTTCATTGAGTTTGGGCTTAACTGATAAGGTCCAATACTCTGGTTACATTGATGTTGAGATATGGGATTGGCAGGCAGTGGGAGAAAAGCCAAAGGCTTCAAAATTATAAAAAAACGCACATAGATATCATGGATGTGATTGTTTTTGTTCTTTTATGTACGTTTGATTGTTTGTATGTTCTATAAATAATTTTACGGCATAATATTTTCAGCATCTGATCCATGTGGCCATCGAAAAGAAACTTGACCACACCCTATTCTCTGTGCTCAGCCATCTCATGACTTCCTCTGATCAGAACCAGATGGTTGTGATGCCATTAGCCGTTGGCCTTGCTTGATCATATACCCTCTCCTAAGAAATTTTAAGAAGGGATGATTGCTTCTCATAAGAGGCAATTGATCAAGTTGAAATTCTTCTGGGCCTATACAAATGCCTGGTGGTATACTGTGGCTTATGCCACTGAAACGATGCTGTGAAATATTTAGAAAATCCGGGTGTCCATGAATCCTCACTGCATGAGAACATGCACTGTTAAGAGAGAGAATATATGGATCTCAACATAAATGATTGTGACATATCACTGTATGTTTTGCCTAGGAATCAGGATCATCATGTTTGCTACAACTGTTTTGTTTCTTCTTTCTGCACATGAACATAAGGAACTTGTCCACATCATTTTTACAAGCACTGAGCAAAGTGTGCCTTTATACATGCGTTGATTTATGCAAAGCTAGAACGACTCGGTTCTCACAATTTTTCACAATCACAACCACATTTTTGGAGCTCACTTTTTAATAATTTAAATTAAAATGAATTTACAATGTGCACGATGCTATGTTCTTTCCAGTTTTGATCAGTTGTTAACCATTAATGGCCGGCAATTTGCAAATGGGGCACCAATTCTTCTGACTTAGCCATTGTTGAATACAGGCACTATGATACCCATGGTTGCATTCCAGCTTACCAAATTCATCTGCATCTGCATAGTCTTCCTGAAAAAAAAAATATATATAAATAGAAGTAAGCAATTGATATGTAACAAAAGAAAAAAAACATGAAACCGTCACAGTTCTTTTAATTTCCTAATTACCAGGCAAATGCTGCATTTTGCATTGTCATCTTTTGGAGATTTACAATAGCTTGTATTTGTGGAGTAATAGCTTCTCTTCAAGCACTTGGCCAATGCTTTCTCGTCAAGTCCTGTGTTAACGCTTCCTATACGCTCCTCCAGAGCCAGCAATTCCTGCATAATATATATATAGTCATCATGAGCAAAGTGAATCACAAAATAAGAAATGAGTCCTAAAATAACCAAGCCTGCACTAGGAAACCAATACATATTGCATCTGCTTCGTATTATCTTATCATAATAGTTTAATCACTAGATTATCAACCAATCTCCATGGGAAGGAGTGCATGTATGCGTGCATGTGTATGAGAGAGAGAGAGAGAGGACTGTTTGACGAAGCAAGGTACATACACTGGAATGGCAGGTCTACTATAAACAACAAACCTCATAAGACATGTTGTCAATGTCGAGTCTCATGTCACTGTGCTCATCAAGAAAGCTTAGGCCTCCGAGAAGACGAGCTTCAAACACAAGCAGATGCTGCAGGAAACACCCAAATTAAACTCATCACAAACTAATCCTCTTACAAAGCTGAACTCCTTAAAGAGGGAAAGACAACAACCTCAAGTGTTGATTCATCATCTTCTTCAGTCTGCTCTAGAGCCAGTAAAACCTAGTACAAATGCAACAGGTTATTGAGAAGATTGAATACAAACCAAAAGCGCAAATAAATAAAAAACAAGCTCTTTCTAAATCCAAAATAGTTGCTTCAGATCATGAATGGTGTATAGGGGCTAGAAAGGAAAAAACCAAAAATTTTACGCACCCCACTCCAGCACTAGGTTAGGACTTTTTTTTTGGGGGAAATTAATTAGCCATAAGAGATCAACTATTTGACATTTTACCCGATTACAGCTATTTCAAGTCATGTTCATGTGTATTTTGAATAGACATTTGAAATTAAATCAAAAGATATGGCTATGATGTTAAATAGTTCATCTCCTGTGGGTATTTGGATAAATTCCCCTTTTTTTGATAAGTAAAATTATACAGTATGTTACGAAATTCCCCTTTTTTTGGTAAGTAAAATTATACAGTTTGTTACGTGGGATGAAAAACACACCACTCAGAATGGTTAGTCAAAAAAATGGTTAGAAAATAGCTACTGAGCAACAACATGGGAGGTCTGCACAAAATTTTGGGAAAGTTTTGAACAGGTGGAGGATTGTAGGTAATGATGATAAAGGGCAAGTAGTCCCTCTGCGAGCCAAGGAATCTGCCTTGGAGTTTGCTTCACACCAAGTGCAACGAAAGGACACCACCAGTCCTCTGCAAAAATGGAAAATCTGCTCAAGGATTATGGCTAATGAAGAGTGACACGGGGCCGTTGTAGAGACCAATTGGATAACATTGAAGGAATCTCATTCAATGAGGACCAAGGATCCCCAGTCTCTGTTACATACTAATAGACCACGATGAAGTGCCAAAGACTCGGCCAGTGAGCATCTGCACTGGCAATGGGACCCGAGAATACCAAAAGAGAGTTTCCATTATGTGTTCAAAATAGGCAGGGTCTAGATTCCTGTGGGCACTGCAATCAAAGTTTACTAACCACATGGGCCATGGGTAACCATGCTGAGGGCCTGGTGATCTAGAAGGGATTGAAAGATGACATCAAGCCAACTGGAGAAGAAATCCGAGGTAGAAAAAGTTTCTTAGGAAGCCCAAAATATATAAGATGTTGGTGGCTAGGCGAATGATGATCCCTTGAAGACCCTTCAATTCCGTTTGAGCCAGATGGATCAAATGATCGCTTGGACGGTGAGGTGCCAAAGTACACCAAAAGGCCTGTACGGAAAGAGAAAAGTACTGTTTGTACAGTTCTTCTACCAAGGGGAAGGTGAACCCATGAGAGGCTGAAGAGGTTCAGAAAATGTGCCCAAATTGTAGCTGACTGGGGGCACAGCTAAAAGGGGTTAGATTCCTCTTGATTGCCACATAGACACATCAATTGGCTAGATGGAAGCCTCATTTTTTTATTTGTCCACAATTAGGACATTGTGCAGAATGGCAAACCAAGAGAAAGCTTGTTCCTTGGGTGGAACTGAGGGGAGGCAGGCTCTATGAGCAGTCACTGGATTGGGGTTGAATGTTTGAAGAAAGAAGAGACCAAGAAAGAGCTATTAGGGTAGGGGGTCCAAACAATTTTATCAGCACCCGAGAGGGATAGTAAGAAAGCCTTAAGCCACTCAAGAAGGGAGACAATCTGGGTAGATTCAGTCTCAGGTTGGTCTCGACATAGGATAAGAGTCCAAACCTCGGGAAGCACAGCCAGCAATCAAGGCCTCACTTTTTATAGCAGTCCTATAGACAGGGAAAGCTAAATTAAGAGTTTGATCACCAAGCAAGAGGATTTTCAAGAATCTAGTATGGTTTCTGAATTTGGAGTGGAAGAGCACAAAATCTAAAATGTTGAAATAAAGCTGTCTAATAGCTCACCATGCACCCAAAGCCATTGAGGCTGATGAACCTTTTGGGAGTCACCCAGAACAGTAGGGTACCATATCTACTGGATATCACTGATCTGCCTAGTTGTCCTGGTTAGTGGCAAGTGGCCACAACTATTTGCCCAAGAGGGCAGTGTTGATAATTTGGAGGTTTTGGAACCCCAGGCCCCTGGAGCATTTGTGTTTGCATACCCATTCCAACCTGACAAGGCACATGAACGCTTGCATGAGATGTTCGAGTTTCAATGAAACTATGACCGGTATGCGAAAAAGGGACATTTGGAATACTAGGATGCTTGCTAAGATGGATTTGAGGGTAATGCAGCCACCGAAAGAGAGGAAGTGACACGTCAGGAAGTTAAACTTCCTCTCGAATTCCTTGACTATGGGATCCCACTTATGTCTTTGGTTTACCCAAGCACAAGGGTAACCCTAGATATTTGCTAGGCAGGTTCTTGATGCCACACCCTATCCTTCATGCTACCACTTGAAGGAAGACTTGGTCTATGCAACAGCTATGAGTTTAGATTTATGCATGTAGACCTTTAGGTTCGTTTCTAGTTCAAAAAGTCAAATGAATAGCCATAGATTGTTGACTTTTTTTTCTTTAGAGAAGTGCAAAGTAAGAGCAAATACAAAATTAGGCAGTCCCCGAAACAGGGTTCCCTATACAAAAACCCTTGAGGGTCCAAAAACACACTGAACAGATTCGAGAAAGGGAATGAGGTGTGTGCTAAGGGGAGTCCAAAGTCCCCTAGGGAGAGTTGAGACTAGGTCCCTCCCTCGTTAAAGCATCTGCCGGAAAGTTCGCATTCCTATGAGTGTTTAACCATGAGACATGGATACTGCTACAGAGGTGAGCAATTTCAACAAAAATATTATCTAGTCTCTACGGGCAAGGGGCAGTGCCAGACGCCCAAGCGATGGTCTTATTGGAGGCACCCTCTACCAACACCTGTGTGCTCAAATGATGATTAAGTCTTTTGAGTCCCTCGAGAAGCACCTTGACCTCTACAAAAGTGGAGTCCTCGACTCCGATGGGTATGGCATATGAGAGGAGGATCAGGCCATCAGAATTTCTATACATGCCTCCAATGCCTGAAGGGCTTGTGGGGGGCTATTTATAGCTTGTAGTGAGGTATAGGGTTGAAATAATTGATCTAATATTCTATCGGGCCATGCGATGAAGGGGAATTTAACAGGGCTAATCCCTCGGGCCCTAACTTTTCAACGGTAGGTCTAATTTCGATGATTCTTGAACTCTTGGAAAGATCTCAAGATCTACTATGGCTTGGGATGGAATCTAGGTAGTTTTGGGAGAATTCTATTGGGTCTAGATTGACTATAGTTCACTAGGCTTAGTGTGGTCTTTAGGACTTAGAATCAGAGTTTCTAGAAATTCCCTTATAGCTAGAATAGTTTCTAGAAATTCCCTTATATCTAGAATTTTAGTGGGGTATCTACACTGACGAAAGCTGTCCAGCCTACTCACTTTCTCTCTTAGCTCCATTTGAGGGCAGCTAGATAGAGGCCTCTCTCTCTCTCTCCCTCTCTCTCTCTCTCTCACACATACACACCCACACACATACCCACATACGTGTGCAAACTCTCATGCTACAAATGCAGGCAACTAATTATCGCTCTCCAGAAATAACAGCTCTCAGGCACCCCGCAAAATAAACGTCCATCTTAAAAATTTTAGAACCTCAATAACTAGACAAACTTAATTTCATATAAAAATACAAGAAGGAAAAATTTTGAATCCAGCATTACAGATTCTCTTTTCATCCCTCTTTCTTTCAGGTAATTAGCATCCCATCTTCATTGCGAGGGCTCAAAAGGACATGCTATACCCATACAGAGCGGAAGCATGTTTTCATAGACAAATACAAGAAAGAAAAAATTTGACTCCGGCATTACAGATTCTCTTTTAATCCCTCTCTCTTTCAGGTAATTAGCATCCCATATGGCAAGGGCTCAAAAGGACATGCTATACCCATACAGAGTGGAAGCAAGTAACAAACAGCTTCCATGAAATATGATTATGATTACTGTATATTCATGAATTCACAATGGCCCTAGAGTTAACATCCATGCCATTATAACAGTAGAAGCACAAGATTTATTTCCTCCCTATATGGGAAGAAATACAAATACTCATGCAGAACGGAAAGATATAAATTCCGGTTTTCTGGATTCCAAGACCAATGCAAATTACACTTCTCTTTACCCAATTAATGTTTTTAAACAAATATCCCTTGCAATGCAGCAGCCATATTAGGATTCAGAAGAATGATCCAGAAAGATTCAAGGTGTTTTATTTTGGGTTGAACATTTCAATACAGATAAGGAAGGATCTAAGAGAAATTCATAACAAATTAACTGGAAGATGCTTTGGCATGCCTCCAAAAATCCTGGTAGAGACAGCTAGAAGGCCAAGTGGGAGGAACCACCTTGCCCTCACAAGTGGGACAAAAGAGAGGAGAGGAAGCTTAGGCTCATACTTGCTGTAACAATGAAGCAACTACAATCTTTTTAGTTTCAGTCTCATACATGTTTTAAAATGAAAAAGAAACAATGCTCTTAACATATTTTTCCCCAATGTTTAATTGCAAAAATCATAGTGGGTTGCATAAAAGAGTCAAGCAGCTTAGTTTGTTTTCTGGACAAACTTCATAAGCTCAAACCCTTCACCTCCCAAATATAAGATATGAACGAACGTGAGCAAAATTATGGAGAACTAATTTTACATACCTCTGTAATTCCTTCAAGTGAGAAACTACGAGGGTTGTTTCTATGAGAGAAATTGCGTCTTGTCCTTCGGCCATTTCTATGAGCCAGCCGAGATGATCTTCCACAAGCTGATGGTTCTGTGTCCCTTGATAAATTATGCTCCGTAGTAGAAGGAAATGGGGCAGGTGACTGTTGAGGATGAGAGACCGGATCCAACAAAGGAAATGTCAGAGAGTCCCCTATGCTCTCATTAGATTGACCAATTAGTAGTCTTGGATTTGCAACATTGGCTGCAAGGCTTTCACTGTCCCTCTCACCATCTAAATGTGATGAGTTTTCCATGCTATTAACGGATCTACTGTTACTCATGCAATTTGACGACTCAACTAACTGCCCATTTGAGTTCCTTCTCCTTATTCCATTTGATTGTGAAGGCTCATTTAAAGAAATATCATAGCCATGAAGAAGATGGTCGCGATTGCTATAAGGAGTTCTCGTTCTTCGAGATCTAGAAGTACTTGCTGAATCACCAACTTTTGCCGCCCGGGTTATTCTCTTTAAACCCCCTGAATCGTGTGCATTCACAGGTTGTTTCATCTTGTCAGCTTGTTTCGCATGACCTAAATGGCCTTGCATAGTTGATGATGGGCAAGCAGAAGAAACAGCATCAGACATAGAGACACACCCAAAGCCTCCAAGGCCACAACCTGCTAATAACTTCCCATTACTCTTCTCCCTTGAGTTATAACCTAGAGATATATCTTCAGAATTGAGACTCCCATTTCCAGAAACGAGGAGACCCTGCCGATTATTGCTACTTTGTATGTTGCCGATCTTGGAATGTATCTGGTCCCTTGTTTTAGTGCTCAGCAAAGGAGTAAAATGATCAGAATTGGAAGAAGCATATGCCCCTTCAGCGCCAAACCCATTGGAACTGAGTTCTCGGGCAGAACAAAGAAAACCAGGAAATGCTTCATTAGCTTCAAGAGAAGAACTCATCGAACTTTTCTTTGCAGTCAAACTATTTCCAATTGAGACACATGCTAAGCTATCTGAATTCATCAATTCAGGTATAACGATCAACCCTGATCGATGACTACTAGTTGAAGCAAAAGATGGGCTCCCCTGCCAATGGTGAGCACTTTGGAAGCTTGGGTTATAGGGTTGTTTCGAGGAACTTCCAACTTCAAACTTAATAGAATGGCAGGAAGGCTTAGAAGATTGTGGTTGCTCATAAGCATTATTCTCTCTTACAGTGCTACTAATCCTTGAATTATGACACAAATGGTTAGAATGTTGGCTGCTCTTTCCTATGAAATTTAAGTGCCTAGAAAGAAGCAACGACCCATTCCTGGAATCTCCATTCTGAGTTGAGCCTCTTTGACTGGCGTACTCGTCCATATCGGAATCTGCAGACTTCCTAATTCTGTACGGAAAAATCAAGAATGCCAGTCAAGTATGTGCCAACCGGTTATGAATAAATCATGAATGGCACAAAATATCACAGAAGTAATCAAGCAATACAGTATATTACCTGCAGAGGGACCACTATCAACAAAAGTGTATCATTAATTTATCAACCCAAACAAGTAGTTTCTTGATGCACCTTCTTAACCACAAGAAAAGTATACTCTTAACATACAAATATCTCCATATAGTCAGATCCATAAAGCTCTTTATTAAGTCCACTAGTGGTCCATTAGAAATTTGTGATTACTTTTTTAAGGACAATCTTTTTGGACTATTAGATTATCGGTATACAATGTTAAAATTGTCATTTTTTCAGACTACTAGATTATCAGTATACAATGCTCAAATTGTCATTTTTTCAATTAATCTGAATCTGCCTCAAATGACAGGTACATCTATAGTTTTACCATCAGTATTCATTAGTCACAAAACCATCTCCTTGTTACAATTTACAAAACTCAGGAGTCATCTTTTCTATCATTACAACTGCTGATTTTGATACAATGGATCACTAAGAATAAAGGTAAAATTCAGATCCGGAGGAAATGACAAACATAGGCCTTGATTCATTTGGAATAAATGGTAAACACAAAGATGAACGTTCAAATAGATGAAACCTCAACTTTCTCCAAGTGTGGTGCATTTTGTACTCCAAATGAAGGTGTTGTACGTTGTTTCTCTAAATGTTTTGAAATTTACAGCTTAGGGAAGAGAAGCTCTCTGAGTCAACAACTTCAACTAAAAAGAATCAGAAAACAAAAAGAGGAAGCTAAAATGAAGAAGAAAACTATTTTCAAAGAAAGGTTGGAATCATCTACACCAGCAATTTAAGCACCTAACCATTCACATATATCACAATACTTCATGTATCATTCAATCACTCTCATTCAAATTCTCAAGGGAAAGTAAAAGAGTTGATGCTCAAATAATAAAATTTCAAGGCCAAGTTTGAAGTAGAGTCTAATTTGTGGAAAAGAAGACAACTATCAATAAAATAAGCATTAAAATAGCCTATTAAATGAAAGAAGTAAGAAACCTGAGAGAGATTTGTTATTTAGATGAAAGAATGGTTTTCCGCAAAACCCTTAAACAAGAATAGAGATATTAAATTATATTAGGGGTGACCCTTGGTCCCCCAGGACTCAATCGACCTGGCAAAAATAATTCCCATATATCTAGTTTGCTTCGGCTGATGAATGCTTGTACAGGCTCTTAAGCCAAAGTATCTTTTCTCAATCAAAATAGCATGAAAAGGGAAAAAAGATTGTTTTGGGAAATTTCAGTTTTCCTTGACTTTAGCTTAGATGTTGAAGACATGGACACTTTGGCATTTTGGCCTCTTCGGCTGAATGAAGGCAATTTAACATCACTGATTTCTCTTTCCATGAGTACTAGTGCATAAAACTTCTTTTCTTTAACAACCGCTTTTATCAAGGACTAACTTCTGTTTTTTAGATAAAAGGGTACAAGAGGTACATCCATAATTACTTAAAAAAATCAAATTTAAACCAACTGACCTTTTGAGGCCCCATAAGAAAAACCCCTCCTAGACATATGTTAACAAAAATATCCTATGCCAAAGAAGATTTTTCATACATAATGACACCCCTCAACTCCTAGCACCTTGCAAGATATTTTTCCTGAATATGTCAACCATTTCATGTCCCAATTGCTCAAGAATTGCCATTTATCTCCAACCATGATAGGACAAAACAATGGTCAAAAAATTGTCCGGTGGGGCCTAGATGGTCATGGGATCCTAGCCGCCCAACACCTAGTCGGCCGGTCAGATTTCTAGGAGGCCTAGGTTGAAGAAGAGAGGCAAGGGAATATGAGTATACATCATAAAAGATTAAAAATTTTAAATCCCATAATCCAAAGTTCCCAACGATTGCAAATTTACTAGCACAATCAAAAATAAAATATAATAGTAAAATAGTAATACAAGCACAATCCATAATCCATATTCCATAAACCATACTCCACAGTCCATACCATTCCATAATTCACAATTCCATATAATGATACAACCGTACAGGCATACCATAAGCATAAATACTAAAAGAAAAAAATATACACTTGAAGACTCAAGAATCATGAGTCTTTCAGACATCATCAGAAAAAGAGGGGTAAGCCTCATGCCTCGAAGTCAAGTCCATTATCATTATAGTCATCTCTCTCTTTATTATAACGCTCCTCCTCCTCCATTTCTTCTAAATCTGCCTCTTCCTCGACTTCTTCTACCCCTTTGCTTTGTGCAGATGATCTAGAGGTCCTAAGAGTGTTGGCTGCTCTACCTCATGCCTCTTCACCCTTTTTTTGCTTTTCGTGTTTTGCTTAACTAAAATATCGCTTAATCTTCTCCCTGATAGCTTTAAGAACATTTTTACAAAGGGTAACATCCCCCCTAATACCGATAAGGTGTTTTTTGAATAAGTAAATACCCCCGTTATTATTTTTCTACAATAATTACACCTTTGACAATTCTTTCATTTGGATTCAGGGTTATAATCATACCCCCACCTTGATCACCACTTTTAAAGGAATTTGGAGAAGACATTTCCATATAACAAGGCATCTTTTTTTTCCTTTTTTGGTTTTACCAAATTTAGATATTCTCTAATCTTATCTCTAATAGCTTCACGAACTGTTTTACAAGAAGCAACATTACCTTTAATAATGGCAAGGTATTTCTTGAACCAGTTAATACCCAGTTAATACCCCTATTAATATCTTTTTCACAAAAATTACACTTTATACAATTTCTATCATTTGGATTTGGGTTATAACCATACTTCCAACCCGGATCAACACTTTTAGAAGAACCAGAAGAAGACTTATCCAAACGACAAGGCTCCTTTTGCTCTTCTTTGTGTTTTACCAAACTCAAATATTGCTTAATCTCCTCCCTGATAGCTTGAGGAACATTTATACAAGGAGCAACATGCCCTTTAATTGGCAAGGTGCTTTTGAACCAGTTTATACCCACATTTGTATCTTTTTTGCAATACTTACACCTTATATAATTTTCATCATTTGGATTTGAGTTATAACCATACATCCATCTTGGATCATCACTTCTAGAAAAACCCAAAGAAGACATTGCAATAACAAATAAAATCTCAAATATGAAGATTCTTCAGCAAATGTTTTGCTCGATCTTCAATCTTCAATGTTTGAGATGTCTACAATCTCAAATGCTTGTTGAAAACCCTTCAAAAATCTTCCAAAATCTACAAGATCAAATCCAAACCAAAAGGATGATGTTAGGATCAATTTTTTAAAATTTTAAAATACCAGATCGATCTCATAGAAATGCAAAAAAATGATTTTTTTAAAAAAAAATCACTCCTAAAGGTAACGAAAGGCGTTTAGGTCACACAAGAACCTAAACCACCCCGCCCCCCTCTCTTTTTTCTCCCCTTATTTAGAGAGGGGGGAGGGGGGAGGACAAAAGTGCCCCTCCACGAGGGGCATTTTCCCCCTTGGGTGGGCGCAGTCCCTGAGCAAGGACCCACTGCTCAGAAGGGCCGCCTGGGCATGAGAGATGCACCCAGGCCCCCCTGGCCGGTTTAGGCACTAGGCCGACCACTTTTTGAATCAATGGGACAAAAGTTCAAAACTATCAATTAATCCCTTTTGAATGTTTTCTCTGTCTTCCCTCACTAACTATTGCATATTATCTCTGTACTACCAACTATTTCATCCTTGAACTTTCCACATGTATCGTTCTCTACATGCCACTTGCATAGTTCTCACTCTTTCCTCTTTCCTATGCCATATACAAGGCCTGAATGCACCCAAATTGTCCCAATCCGAGCAGCCCTAGCGACTACCTCATACTTGTCGTCCACATGTCAAATCTCCACAATCACCTATATGGGAAGAAATAATGAAGCATATAGTGAAGTACATTTCTCTAGAATGCCTATAAGGAACATGGAATCAAGTTACCTCAGTCTTCTATAAGAGAAAATGAAACAAAAGAAAACTTCTAACCTAACTCTAGAGTCTAAAGCAGAAGCCAGGATGTAGTGATTGCTATGAACAAAAAGTAGCATTTCTTTTATGGGAAAAGTTTATATAGGGCCTAGGATCTAAACAATCAAATTAGAACCTACCTCAAAAATTTCACTAGAAAAATTTCTCAAGAAGACATGCCATCTAGGAGTGAAAATAGAATAATTATAGGATCTACACAAACAATGAGGTGGTTCGAGAATGGATTTGGGACACTATGAAAGTTTAAGCCTTAGCTCTTATGGAGTTCAGTGGTATCATAGCACTAGATCTGGTAAAAGAGTGGACTAACTTGTCGTGCAATGGCGGTAGGCAAGGCAAGCATTGTGCTCATTGAAATTAACAGGTATGCGTACTTCAACAGAAGCTGAAGCAAGAGCCCTCATGACCCATTTTTCAGGACTTTCCATAGCTATCCTTAGGACCTTTAGTGGATGGTTCATGGGAAGCCACTCTGCCCTATCAGCTGGACACACTGAGTGGCTGCATTCCGTGGAGGATTGCAAATACCATGAAGTTTATAGCAGTGAATTCATCATCATCCAAGCCTTATCCCAATTATTTGGGGTCGGCTAAAGTTCATTGCAGTGAATTAGACGATACAAAAAACTTCCACTTTTGCCACACAAATTCACCACCCAATTCAAAGGTCCAGCACCCTCAAGAGATGGGGTGGGAGGATATATTTGTGTGCTTGAATTTCATATTCAACTTGTGGAGTATCTCCTTTGTAATTCCCTCTGTTTTGTTCATTACCACCGATGCGTGCATCTTTGTGTGTTTTACATGTACCATTTGTGCAACTTAACGACGAAGAAAGCACCAATGATATAAACTATGGTTCACTCGAAAGATAGTTATCATTAAGAAAAGAAATACCATGTTAACTACTGCAAGAAAGATAATGAAGGGACTCTTTATTGCAAGGAATTTCTTCATGAAGATGGATGACATCATAGGAAAATGATGATCGGAAAGCGTTCTATTTCTACTTCGGTGATGACCATGATGATTTGCATAGCCATTTATATATTAAAAAATCAGAAGTCTTTGTCTTCCTTTTTTGTTGAATCAATATGAATTACGAGCCATTTGCCATATTTTCAAGAATCTTACCATCGCTAATCAGAGAGATCAGCTACCTTAATGGAACGAACTCAAGTGCACAATTTAAAGTAGCTGTAATGTGACAACTTAGCATGCCTTAGACACAGTAACATGAAAAAATAGTTTGCTCCAGGAAAAGTCAGTTATTGGTACATTGTATCATTCAGTTGCAAAATTTAACTTAAACTTTTGCAAATTTCCCATTTTGGAAAGAGTTATTCAGAATCTGATTATCTTAATCTCTTTATGACTTGCACGAGACCAAGAATCATCAACATTTCCGAGAAGATCAGTCAAACAAGAAAGTGGGTTACAGTGATCTGGTTCTCACATGTTTCCACAAGAAACTTGTTTAAATCCACCATTTGATGAATGATATCTAAATTTGATAATTTTTAATTGACAGGCATCCAACTTCGAATACTTATTTCCAGGAACCGTGAAATTTCTTAAATTTAGATTGAAAAACTACATATAAAATAAGCCAAAAATAAATAATAAACCATTAATAAGTTCACTGAGCCTCTCAAATACACTAATATACCCCATGTTCACCTTTTTTTTTCCTTTCTGAAATTACAATTACAACAATGTTTTCAATGGAAATCAAAGATATCAATTGAGATTAAAGTTCAAATTAACCTGTGAAGATCAAAGGAACTATACGGTCATGGTCTCTTTCTTCAGCTGAAAAAAAAAAAATAGACCCAAAAAAAAAGTCCCTTTTTTTTATCTTTCTGGGAATGCAGATTGCTCTTGAGGCAATTAACCACGATTAAAACCAAAAAAATGCAATCGTATCAAAGAAAAACCATGATCTGGGTCCATCCATAAAAACCAAAATCTGCAAACATCTAGATCACGCAGAAATCAATAAAAAGAACGGAATTTCGTTAAAAATCACCAGCAACAAAAGAAGAATTGCAAGCAATAAAGAGAACATATACCAGAAAGATAGATATAAAATTGAAAACATGAGAAAGGGGTGTTACAGATGTGATCCGATACGAGAAAAGATGGTGATGATGACGATGGTAATCAAACGACGGAACCCACATTGAAGGGCGCCATGGACTCTCTCTCTCCTCTCTCTCTCTATCTACTTTCCCTGCCTACAGACGGGCAATTGGTACCCAAGCCTGACACCAGAGTGGAATCTTTTATTGAATAAATGATTGGGGTGGAAATGACTAAAATAACCCTGGAGAGCATCCAACGCCCTGTGAATTTCCAACCCACCCAAACTGGGCTTTTCAGAAATGGAAAGTATTACCATACACGAATGGTGTATTATATTCGATACACAAGAGAGCCCACAATCACCGTCCATATCCAATATGAGTAGTGGATATTTCGAAATCTCTATGGCATGTTTCTTTTTGGGTTGTCAATCTCTACCACATGTTACTTTGTTCTTTGTACGTATGGGTCCGACTCGTTTTGTGGACCGATTCGAGGTGCTCACCCGTGGGTCCGATAGGATTTTGTTTCATAATAAGTAAAAATTATAAAAAAGCCTAGCAATTTCCATGAATCTTATCCCAATCTAATTTTTTCTCTTATTTTATTCTCAAAACAAACTTTTTTTTACGTGAATACCTTCAAAATAAAAAGTTCATTTTTTTAAGACAAAAATGCTCTTTACAAGCACATAAAATCATTTTGGTCAGATTTGAAGTTGACTTTTGGACCCCATAGAACATTGTCGGAGCACACCATCACACTGCCAGAGCGTATAAGTGCTGAACGGCCCTAAGATAACTATCGGACCGAAACTGGGTACTCCAGACTGCCCTTTACATAGTGTCAGAGCATTAGAATTCAGTAACATCCAGTATTCACAAAATCGAATAGGAACGGTTAAGCGGACATGGGCTTGGAAGCGGTTTAACGGCCTAACCGGTTAGCCGGCCGATTCAACTGCTCTAACCGGACAAGTCCCGAATGGTAAAAAAGGTGTTGAAAAAAATATATAAAAGAAATCTACTAAAATATGAAAAGCATATAAAGAATGATTAAAACAAAACATTCAAATGAAGTTGAAAATTTAATGCAAAAAATGGATTTTAACCCATTTTATATTTTCTAAGGGCTATTTTTAATTTTTTTAAAAAAGATGGGAAAATATAAAATTGAGTATTAATGACCAAAACAATTTTTAATCCTTACCATAAAATAAAGGATATTTAAAAATGCATTACAAATCAAATTCCTTATGTTTTAGAATTTATATACATTTTTTTATTTTATTTTATTTAAATACCGGTTGACCACCCTAACCGTCCAAAACCGAAACCGGCCAATGGCTAGTTCCGATCTAACCGAGCGTTTAGCGGTTAAATCAGGCGATTTTAGGAACAACATCTACTGCCGGACCGCTCATTGCTACTGTCGGACGGCCCTTTGCAACTGCCTGACCGCACTTTACACAATGCTGGAGCCCTATTGGCGGACCCAATTACACAGTGTCGGAGCCCCTATTTTGGTGGGATAGAGGAGTGCAAGAGCCCTATTGTCGGACCGCACTTACACAATGTCAGATCCCCTAGTTTGGTGGGATAGAGGAGTGTCAGAGCCCTACTGCCATAACACACTTACAAGGTGCTAGAGCCCTATTTTGGTGGGATAGAAGAGAGAAAGGCATGAACAAGGTAAAAGTAAGGGAGGGTAGTTTAGACATTTTTTTATTTTTTATTTGGTTGGGGGGTATTTGTATAGAATGTGTAATTTCGAGAAAAAAAAGTTAGATTTGGGGTAAATTACATTGGAAAGTGTGGGGGATTTCTAAGTTTCCTTAATAATAAGGGAAAAGTTTATATAGAGTGGAGGCTCTAAACAATCACATTCGAGCCTCCCTCAAAAATTTCACTAGATGAGATTGTTTTGATGCCCAAAAATCCTCAAATTGATCATCTCGATATCAAGATGCATGGACATGAGAAAAATTGATTTCAAGTTTTAGAAATAATGTATTTTGTAATGTATTTTTTGACTGTCAACTTTCAAGGTTTCATAGATCTGTCGATCTACACCATTTTTTAAGCTTTAAACTTTATAAATAAAGATGAAAATATATTTTAAAGCTATCACAAAGATTTCCAATGTTGGAACCACATTTCTCATTACTATTTAAAGGTAGGCTCTAATTTGATTGTTTAGAGCCTAGGCTCTATAAAAACTACACCCTAATAATAATTAGGAAAATGTTTCTATGAGGCTGAAGCCCTATGCCAATAAATAAGACCTCAGTCTACTTCGTCGATTTGTTTTGGACGGTACAGATATCACCCATACATAACAAGAGTGACTATGGCACAGGAAGACCCGGTAACCTCTGGTTTTCTTTTTAGTACTGCTCCCTCCCAGAGGGCTTTCTTTCAGATGAAGGGTCCCTCTTCTTGTGGAGATTTATAGGAAGGCGTAGAGATTCCAAGAGGGTTCTCTTGTTTGTAGATCTGCTGCTTTCTCTCTCTGTCTCTAACCCTTGAGTCGGTCACCTATTGAAGAACAGAAGAGGTCCTCTGCTTGCCTAGTTCTACCAATGATTGTAGTGTTCTCGAGAATCCTAGCTTGCGAAATAGAGAATTTCAAATACCGAGATTCCAATTAAGATCGTGTACATGATTGGCTAAATGCGAAGTAGATGAATACAACTATAAATCAAGTGCAATAAATAAAACAAACAAAAAAAAAGGCACGCCACAGTAACACACGATTTACGTGGTTCTCCCAGTATGGCTACATCCACGATCTCGACAAAATAGAAATCCACTATAACAATAAAAGTACAATTTTTGGGATACATGAAATAATACCTATCTCTAAACAATGATAAAAAACCATCATTGATCTTCTCCTCTAAACTTGTTCTCGTGGCCGAGCAACACCATCGATAAATACCTTCTTTCTCACCGCTACTACTGCCGAAAAGATAACCCGAGAGTAACCGATAGGTTTTATTTCTTTAGAAGTGAAAAAAAAAACCTAAAACTCCATGGGAATACCGCATCTCCTTTGGAGGCAATGACTAACTATTGGGTACCCATTGTAGAAACGAAAAGCAATCCACGAAAAACAAAAAAGAAGAAACAAACACAAAAGAAAGAAACAACCAACCACAACGTAAAGATATACGTGGTTCGATAACCAACCATACGTGGTTCGATAACCAACCACAACACAAAGATATACGTGGTTCGATAACCAACCACAACATAAAGATATTTGTGGTTCAGCAACGTGCTTACGTCCACGGGAGATTATAGTTTCTTTACTGGCAATGAAGAATAGGGTTATAATGCTCTTTCTTCCTTATGCCTCTCTGTTTTTATCTAATTACAAAGAGATCTGTGTTTTTCCCTTAACCCTTACCTTTGGATAAACCCCCAATCGCAACGATATATATCGAGTCTCAGATAGATGGTACAAATTACTAAATCACTCTTGTACGGATATATATCACATCCCAGATATATCGAATCCCATATACAAATATATCTGAATTTTTCCTCAGGGGCTACGCCCCTGAACCCCCACAGGGGCCAAGTCCATCAAGTCAACCTGTCAGGATGACTCCTTCGAGCCTCAAGGCCTACGGGCCTTCAGCCCTTTGGGCTTTTAATGGCCCTCCAAAGTCGTCTTTCTGACTCCATATTGGCAGATCTATTTCCTCCGAATACAAGACATCAATCATCAACACCCATCTCCTCTTTGGAGATCTATTCCCATAACCCCAAAGGGAGACCCTCAAAATGATAGGATATTATGCCTTTATTGAGAAACAACCATTAAAACTTATCAGCAAGAGCTGTTGAATTGCTTTCTTTAGAGAAATGAGTTTGCTTTCTTATGAGTGGTTGCCATTTCTGCCACAGTTTCTTAGGAAACCCTATTTGGGACCTTCAAATGAGGAGAGCAATGGCGTCCAAAGTAGTTCTAAGGCAAAGGAAGTCACCTAAAGATGCAGCGTCTATTGTTTGTACTAGAGAGAGGGCATGGATTTGGCAAAGGAAGATCCAATAGGGCATGAGCTGAGCAATTGCAGGGGTGTAGTCTCTTTCATTGATGAACTCACATATGAAATTCACGACAGTAACCTGATTGCAATTTCCGCTTGTAATGACACGAATTTGTTAGAAAAGAAAATTTACTGGTTTCATGTCTTTGAGGTGCATCTATTTAGAGAGAATCCTTTACTAGTGGTTTAGAGGTGCATCTATTTAGAGAGAGAATCCTTTATTAGTGGTTTAGAAGAAAAGCTTGAGATGAACCAGTTTACTGGGAAGCTCCCGTTTCCTTCTTCAAATGCGTGCTCCATCTTCCACCATTCAGAAAAAATAGACGGTACATAAAGGTCACAATCATTCTTGTCTTTCAAATTTTAAAGTGGTTGGCTATAAGAGTGTCATAGAATAGACACAAAATTCAAAAAAAAAAAAAATCTCGAATTTCATAACTCACCCTCAAACTATCCAATTTGACATTTAATGAGTAGGAATGACTGTGACCTCCATATACAAAAGATAAACTCTCTTTATAGAAGATCACCTAATTCCCTATCTTCTCATAATTTGGCCACTCTCAATTTAACAATTAATCGCTTCATCGACCTGGTGGACCGGGCGATTCATTCCATATCAGTATCCCATTTAAAACAAAAATAAATCAGTACTACACTAACCTCCATCCAGCTGGGGTGATTTTGAGATTATTGATATTTAAATTACTGCTCTAAGATATCAATATTTTATTCCTATAATTTTGCTGAGTGTTTTAGACACCAAACCAGTGGGTTGAACAGTCTCCGACCTTTTTCGAGCCAGCTTAGAATCACTTGAGCAGGCTCCCAATTCTTGGGCCTTATTGTAGAATTTATTTTTTTTTCTTTCAATATAGATAAGAACCAGTGTGGAAGATAGTGTGTTAGACCTGGACAAGTCCTCTATGAGCAGGCTCCCAATTCTTGGGCCTTATTATAGAATTTTTTTTTTTTCTTTCAATATAGATAAGATCCAGTGTGGAAGATAGGGTGTTAGACCTGGACAAGTCCTTTATCAGTTTTGAGTTGGCTTGAACGGTTCCAAACTTGTATGACAAATTTTAAAACATTGTATTTTCTTTCAAATA